TTTAATACAAATTTTTCTCAATGTAACTACGCTCACAATATTAATTCCACAGCTATTTATTCGCACTATCAGTAGTGACAACATTATGATAAAAAGATCAATTCTCGCATTTATTTTCCCATAAGCATGACAAGAGGGAAGTTAGCCTGGGGTGATACTTGATGGTAGCCTTAAAGCTTAAAGCGCTGAAGAGACACTCGATATTTCTAACGCATTCCTTCCAATTAAATATGTGCGTGTGTGAGAATATAAAGCTGCGTTTCATACGTTTTTTTCTCTTTTTTGCTAATACTGCACGAAAAACGCGCAGGAAGCGAACTCGCGCGCTCGCGGGTCCTCCGAATTCGACATTGACGCACTCTTGAAAGAGTTCCCTGTACTCGACGCGTCGCACCGTCTGCACGTGACGAAGAAATCGAAGGCCATCGAGTGTATATTAAAGTCCACGCTGCCGGCTTGTGTATATCGATCACCTCCTTGCAACGTCATTGCGCGTTCGCGCGAGCTCGTTGTTCCACGCGACCGTTTTTCCAGGCACCGCGGAGGGGAGAAGGACGCGCGAGTCGATTAAAGGCGGATATCTGTAGGAGAAAAGAAGTCATAGAAACAGTTGACGCATCGCGAGCGAGTGAGAGGGACGGATCTTTCTGCGGGATCAAAATGAATCGGCCGACGTTTGCGCAATGATTTCTCCCGCATCTCCGGAGATGCGCGCGATCGCGTTGTATCGCGCGCACCTCCGGATTTTCTAGATCAGCCGACTCCCACGCGCAATAACGAGGCGAAACGTGGCCTCACAATGGCCACAACGGAGGGAGACGCCGCACAAAGAACAAGGAGGGAGTATTTTCTAGCCCGGAACCCGCGGAAATTAGGTCAGCGCTATATCTATCTCGCGAGGGAAGCGCTCGACAGGCACTTTTCTCCGGCGGGCTCTTGCGACAAAGAGCCTGCGCTGTGTGTGTGTGTGTGTGTGTGTGGCGTCGTCTCAATGCCGAATGCTTCGAAACGGAAACGCGTCGCGCTCGCAGAATCCGAGATATTTGCATCTCGCGCCGTGAAAGACAGCGGGATGCGAAGGCGCGCGGGGCTTTCGCGAAGCGATCGCAATCTGAGGAACTTTGCGCGCTAAACTCTTGTGTTTCGCAAGTTAGAGGCAGAGGGAAGAGGGAAGGAAGATAAAAGATTTTTTTCTCCTTCCTTCTCTTCATTTTCTTCTTTTTTCCTCCTTTTTTTTTTTCAATTTTCTTTCCCTATTTATCGTTATGACAATCTTTTTACTCGTTATACCATTGTCCCAACTACTGTACATCAAAGGGCTCGGACCCGTATATTATAAATAAATAAATAAATAAATAAATAACGAAAAAGAGGGACGAGCGCGCGTATCGAGGGCCGATTTAAATCGCCCCGGTCGTGCAAGGAAAACGCGCGGTTCCCGGAAAACACAATTCGTCGGAGAATCGGCGATTCTTAAGACGCGATATACATCTCGAACGCGCATTGCATAATTCGAGGAATATTCATCGGTCCAAGTTGATTCTTCGCTTCTGCCGCCACCTGCACACCGCGGCAAGAAGCGCAGTACCGATGGCTGATCACAGGACGCGGATCTCGGATCCGCACATTCGCTGTCGGACTGCCACGTGCGCGTACACGTGCGTCGATAAAGCAGGAAGCGACAGTTGGGAGAGGAAGTTAAATGGAAAAATGAACGTTGAGAACGCGTTAACGAAACGCAACTATTAATGAAGCGTCGTTCGTGTGTGTATGTGTATGTATGCGTGTGTACATGAGATACGCCTGGAAAGCTGTTATCCTTTTAATGTGTTGGAACCGACTGGATAGCTGCAGGAAACTGCGTTATCTGCTTCGTCGGGAAAGCGAGGAGAGAGCGAGAGACTGATCGTCTCGAGACAGCGCAAAGAAATGGTTGTTCCCTTCCTTACTTCTCGTTCATTCCTGTAAATCTCTTGCAATTGCCAGTCAGGACAACTCGAAAGCTTTTATCCTCGATTTGCAAGATTTTCCGCACTGAATGAAAAAATATCTTCCCTTTCGTTTACGAATATAATTTGTTCTCAAAATATAGAGATATTATTTCGCGTGCCTGTTCCGCCTCGCGAATTTTCGAGGCACGGAGCGGTGTCCAACGTATCTCCAAAGACGAGACATTTCAGCTGTTTCCTCTTTCGCGTGTGAATGCAAAGAGACGCCGATTGCTCGGCGCGAAAACGCGAAAACGCGCAGCTACGTTTTTCCATCCATCGCGCAACCCCGCGCGTTTTTCCCCGCTATTCGTCCTTTCGCGTCATTGCAAAAACGAAGCGACTTTCAGCGGCGGGGAGAAGGGGCAGAGAGCAAGTGCACTTGATTCCTTTTGAACAATGTCGGCTCGTTAAAGACGCGCCTCCGGTGTCTGTCAGTCGCAGACAGTCGAGCGGACGGCAGCGACAATCCGAACAAAGCGCAATTAATGTCGACAGAGCCGATTCGCGCGAATGCGCTATTATAGAGCGAAGACAAAGTGTCAACCGGCGTTAAATACCACGACTCGCAGATGTCACGCGCGGTGAAATCGCGCGAGCCGGTTGCGCAAAGCGCGAGCGAATTATGGGGAGGGCATTCACGGAGTTGTGAAACGAAGGTCATCAAAATTGACGAAGACACCTCGTGTGTATGTGTCGAAAGAACGACACGGCAATTACGAACGTTGGCAGACGCGTGTTAAGTCTCTCTCTCTCTCTCTCTCTCTCTCTCTCTCTCTCTCTCTCTCTCTCTCTCTCTCTCTCTCTCTCTCTCTCTCTCTCTCTCTCTCTCTCTCTCTCTCTCTCCCTCCCTCTCTCTCTCTCTCTCTCTCTCTCCCTCTCTCTCTCTCTCTCTCTCTCTTAGAATTAAAACTCGTCATCTAGACAACCGATTCACCGAGTTTCCGTCTCCGTTAAAAGCGAAAGACGTCACATAATGTCAATCGTATGTCTCTGCATTATGTTCGCGCTCGTACTATTTTCACTCACGTGCGAGTGAGATTATCTGAAGAAAAGTCTCACCCACAAAACAAGTAATTTCCGAACAAGCGGAATCATCTAAATTTTAGAAGATTTTATTCTTATACATGGTGTACATGACCTCAAGAGGAGGTCCTCTAAGATTAAGAAGAAAATATTATAAACACATTATTCTTAAAATTAGAGGGATTATATGTTACATGTATCATGCAAATCTTATTGATTTTAATACAAATTTCTTCTTATACATAGATTATTTAACCTTTTTTTAAGAGAATTATTATTTATTCTCATTGTACTTTATTCTTATTCTTATCTTATTCTGGTTACACTAGTTAATTTGAAAAAAATTATTATAATGTATAGCGAAAAGTAATTTATATATAGATACGAGGGTAGTCCCAGAAGTACCTGACCTAACAAAGAAAACACAAAAAATTTGGGAAAAAATATCTTTATTTCTCTACATAGTCTCCTTTTAGCTCAATACACTTTTCCCAGCGATGTTCAATAGCTTCGGTAGCCCTGTTTATAGTGGGAAACGTCGAGCTCCTCAAAATAGCCATCAAGCCACCTTGCTCCATTGTTTTGACTGTCCTTTGTCTCAGGTGTGAAGTGATGGACCCATGTTTCATCCATGGTTATGAATCGGCTTTATTGCTGCGAAACTTCGCCGAACACTCGATTGAAACATCCTCACGACGCTGTTTTTGTTCCAATCGCGGCACCCATCTTGCGCACAGCTTTCTCATGTCCAAATTCTCAGTCAATATGCGATGGACAGCACTTTTCGAAATGCCTACCATGTCTGCTAACTCGCGCACTTTCAGTCGACGGTCATCCAATACCATTTTGTGGATTTTCTTCAGCATTTCTGGCGTGGTCACCTCATTTGCTCGACCACTGCGATGTTCGTCTTGGCAGCTCTCGTACGGCCTCGTTTAAACTCTGCCACCCAATATTTTACTATTGCAAACGAAGGAGCAGACTCCCCCAGAGTAGAATCTAGCTCCGCGCTTTCGTATTGGTTGGACTGAGGCCTTTCAAATGAAAGTATTGTATCACATAACGATGATCAATTTTTTCCATGTTTACAAATTCACTGAGAGCGTTCACTATTGATGGCTGCCGAACAAATACTAAACAACGTAGCGTCGTCAAACTTCAAACTTAAGCTTTATAATGTTGGTACTTTCTTCCATAGTCATTCTTTTCAAACAACAACCGCTATCTATACGTCAGGTCAGGTACTTCTGGGACTACCCTCGTATACTTCTGGTTCCAGTTCTATAATAAGTAGGCACGAACGGAATAAGATCATCGTAACAAATAAATTTCCAATCAATTTTGTTATGGACTTCATAGCAACAAAGATGTTCATCGTAACCAATTGTATGAAACACAGTTAAAAGAAGGAATATATTATTCAACTTCTTGCGGTAGATTATAAACTGTATTTGACCAAATAGGGGGAAATTATCTTCGTTATATGATACAGCAATACACCTATTTTTCTTAAAAAAACGTTGAGAATATTCTGACCCATGAGTATATAGTAATTTTTTCATTCATATCTAGAGGTAGAGCATGACTGAACAAAAGAAGCCGACATTCAAATCAACATGTTCCTCTTCTTAGAAGAGGAAAGTTAATTGATATACAAGAGGAAATCCTCTTGAAACAAGAGGAAAACATATAGAATAATATCTAATAAATCTCAGATGAATGGTTCACTTTAATCGCTTTGTCGAAAGAGGAATGCTTTTTCTGTAAAAGGCTTCGCTTAGAATATGAGACTATGGGAATAGTCGCTTTACAAATAGAATACTTTTTCTGAGTGCTGGAAAGAAGAACCAGGGTTCGAGTAAAGATCTAAATAGAAACGGAGGAACGCGGCGATGTCGATTCGTTATTCGCGCGGTCGCGCGGTCGGCGTTTCTCGGCGTCTCGTCCCGAAACTGATCGGGCGTCCAATTGATCGGATCGACTCACCTATCGGAGAAGCGGTGTTGGCCTCCCGGAGACTGACGGTTTCCGGCTCCACGGCTGCCTCGTCCTCTTCGATCAGCGGCGGCGGAGGCGCCAGCGGTCGCGTCTCGTAGCCCCAATGCTGCCGAAAAGCACGTGCGCCGCCGTCCAACCGAACGCGTGGCAGCTCGACGAACATCGCGTCGCCCAGCTGAAAGTAAAAGTTCGCCCGGCGGCGGCGTTAAATTGCCGATCGGCCGTGGACGTGCACAATTCCGGAAAATTCAATCCCCGAAATTTCACAGCCGGGGGAGGGCAATATTTCGAGTACCGCGACGATCTCAAGTACAATTTTGCCGAGATATTGACGACACTTTTCTAATCTTTCCGAAAAGCCAGAAATCACGAAAACTGTGCACCGCGGCGGTCCCCCGAAATACGGTTTCTCGAAAATAACGAGATCACGAAATAAACCATAAAATCGGGGATCAAATCCATAATAGGGTAGTTGGGTGGAAAATTGATGAAGAGAGTTAGTTTCACTGTTTTATTGCCTCATCAGTTTCATTAATTGATAGAGATAATTGTTTCAATCAATCACAATTTCCACGTTATTTTGCGAATCGAGAGCTCGGCAGCTGAGTGGAAAATGGACACGAAGAATTGGTCGCTTCGATTATTGTGCCAATTTGTCGTTGAATTAATCATACTTTTTAATCGTGCGCAATCGAACAGTTATATTAGAGGTCAATTTATTAGTGGGAAGCAAATGCGAAACGTAAAACTACTGGAGCTCGCGCACCAGATGTCTCCTCCGGCTGGAAATTTAAGGACGCGCTAACGAGGACACGCGCGCTCGGTGTCGGGACGCGTGGCTAAGCACGGAAGCCGCAACGGAGAAGCGCATTAACGTATTAATGAAACAAGTCACATTAATCCCAGAGATCTCAGCGATAAAACGTGCGAGAGGCGTCGCTTGGCTTCGTTACTGTCGGTCGATCGCGGCGTCGAAAACGCCTCACGCGAGTTGGAGAATCGCACGCGATGAGTCGCGATATTACGCAAAATTACGCGACTTCGGCCTCGTGCGATTACAATCGCGGCCCCTCCCGCTTCTTCTCGGGCTTTCCCGCGGCCTGAAAATGACAAGGCGCGGCGAATTAGCGAACGCGCGAATTACCGACGCGCGAGGATCGCGCGAGCATCCGGAGCGCTCGCGAGGCGACCCTCTAAGAAGCGATGAAAGCGATACGCTTGGAAGTTCATTAAAACATCGTCTTCTTAATTGGAGGCACTTGTACTCGCGGGACGGGCGGCGACTCGGTGTCTGGAGCAGTTTATCGCGCGTAAAAGGGACGGGGAAAAGAATGTTCCTCCTCGGCCTGCAACTTTACACTCGAAATTTTACGCGATGCGGCCGTGAGAGGCGCGCCGCAATCGCAGCGCGGGCTCGAATCGTCCTCTCGTTTCCTCTCCGAGCGCGGCCGCGAGTTCTCGCGTCTTAAAACCGCGATCGTGAAATTCGGCAGTTTACGAGAGACTTTCGGCACGGCGGCGCTTGGATCCTCGAATCCATAAAATCGCCGACACCGTATTCTGATGTATTAAGACTCTCGGCCGCGCACAGTGGAGCCAGATGACATTTTTTGGTTCAAAATTCTCTAGAGAGCTGAATTTCCAACCGATCACCGACACCAATGCCCGACTAGAAATTTATCCTATGGTCCTGATCAGGTTAACCTCATTTGGACATCAGGTCCCAATAAGGTAATATTATCGGGTCCTAGTAAGTCATGTAACGCAGCGTGGATATCAGGACCTTAGTAAGGATTCATAGTCAGGTCCTTATTGAGTTACCTTATGGAATCCTTATTACGTTCTTTTCTTTTCAAATTATGGCTCCTGACTACGCCACTACGCGCTATATTGGATGATGACATTAGAAATAAGAAATGACACACTGAGAATTCTTTCATGTCATTTCCAAATAAAAAAATATTTGCATGAAATAATATTTTAGATCGCTCGAGTATACTTGTAAAATGTTTCGGAAAAGAAACATAAAATGAATATCATAAGATCATTAAGTATCACAAGGTGACAAGACATAAAGTAGTGTTAAAGAGAAAAGTTGCATGTCACGTTAGTTTTACAACTATTTATTGACTGCTAAAAAAGGATAGTTTCTATAGCATTTTACAAATATATTCAAGTGATCTGAAGTGTTTCTTCAATGCAAACATCTTTATATTTGGAAATGACACCCAAAAATTGTTTTGTTGAAACTTGATAATGCAAATCATATTAGGTACAATGAATAAGATCCCGACAAGGATCTGATTAACTGAACCATATTATATCATACACTAGGTTGGTACATTAAGGTCCTAATGTGGACCCAATCATTATAACCTTATAAAGGTCTTCCTTACTTATTTGTCGTTAGGACATTATAAGGACTGACTTACTAGGATTACCTTTCATTCACCCTATTAGGTCCTTATCAATGTCAGGTGAACCTGATCAAAATTTTTAGTCGGGTGGATGAGGTTGATTCTAAATAAATTCCAAAGAGATCTGTCTAGCCGAAATTTTGAAAAAATTATCGGTGCAGGATTCATGGGTTTAGGGTTCGTCTTAAAAGTTTTCGTTTAAAGTACAGTGTCTTGGGTTCGACCTCAATGGATTCGAGCCTATGGATACTGAATGCGACGAGACCCCAGAACTTATAATCATCTTTTAGAAAACTCAGAATCTCAAAGCTCATCATTTCAGCTCACATTAAGAATTAAGGATTAAAATCCCTCGGTTTTGTGCTTAACGGGTCTATATTTGATGCTTTTGTACTTTGACATATGAGTTTTGTTTGGGTTAATGGGTTTCTGATTCAAGATCGATAAATCTCGAGGTGTCTGTTGATTGGTTTCAAAGTTTCAATCCGCTGAATACGCTAGATAGATATAGATAGAAATAAGTGTCGAATAATAAGTATTTCACAAGTTTCTCACGTTAACGATCATTTTTTCTCTTTTGGGGCAGTAATTCGAGAAAAAAATTTTTTTTTAATTTTGGCAAGACAGATCTCTTCGGAATTTATTCATCCATTGGGTGTCGATGATCGATTGGACATTCAGATCTCCAGAGAAATTTGAACCAAAAATGTCATCTGGCCCCACTGTGGGCCGGCCGGATTTCCCGATTTTACTTCCCCTCGGCACTTCCTCTTCCTCTTTCCTCTTTCACGTCAGAAGCGAGGAAATCTCTGCCAAAAATGCCCACGGGCCACGTCGAAGCAAGAAGGTACACACATCCATCAATCGGCACGTTTCTAAAACTTGTCTCTCGTCGCAGCGGCCGACGAATAAACAGACGAGAAAGACTGCGCGACAGAGAAGAAAGATAAAAAGGTTATGCGAATCTTACAGCTGTTTATCGATCGTCGGAGCGAGAGAAAAGTTTGCGGGCGTTTTCGGAAACGTACTCGTTCGATCGCCGCACGTCCTGTCCTGTCTCGCGTCTTGTCTCGGCGCAATCCGTAGGAATTTCTAGCAAGGATTCCGTCGCTTCTGACTGCGTCAGGCCAGTCGTCCTCGACAAGCGAGAAGCAGGAGTCTCGACGATCGCAGCACGAGGCATCGAAGTTCGAATCCCAAGCGGATTAAAATTAGACACTCACGTAACCGCGGATGATATCCATCGTCGGCGACGCGACTCTTCGGGTTCGCGTGGTCCAATTAAACGCGCGAGCCGCGAGCGACGCGCGTCACGTCTGCGCGGCCGATCGGCTTGATAAGCCGCGGATTGCGGATTACTCTCGGACGGAGCGCTGGCCGAGATCCGCGGCAGGCGGCGCGGGCGACGGGCGGCGCCCAGAGGCCGACGACGCTCCGTGGATCCTCCTCGCCGGCGAGCTCTCGGCCGTCCAGGGCATTCCGAATCGCGAAAGGGCGAGGCCGACGATCGGGATCGCGCCGAGTTATTTGGAGCGGAGCCGGGCGGCGACTGGAGCGCGCGCGCGCGCGTCTGGCGCTTTATCTCGGAATATCGTAGATTGACCTGACGACAGGGGCTGACGTCACTAATTAAAGCGCTCGTCGTGGGGCGGAGAGCGCATCGCGTGAAATCCGAGAGCCGGGCGGTTCTCGTTCTTTCTCCGCGACCTCTCATGGCCGTTGGCTGCGCTCCCGCCGAGCCTACGGCGGGACGGTCGCGACACGAAAATCGAGGAGCCAGGATTCTGCGGGATGAGGATACGTACGTGCGGGGAGAGGGGGAGATTCCGCCCGAGTGATCTTCGCGTTTCTTTCTTCAGCCGGGGACCGTCAGAAATATTTCGGTAACCAATGGATGCGACAACGTCCTAATTAATGCGAATGACAGCGAATTTCATTAGTCTTATAATAAAGAAAAGACAGCGACGTGGAAAGAACCACATATTTATATCGAGCATAATCGCGTCCGTGTATTTGTCGAGTGTATCGAAAAAAATCTCCAAAATATCCGACTAATCCATATAGGTAAATGTCCCAATGGCCGGACACGTCCCAGTATCGATCACTTTGAAAAAAAATATTCACTATTTATTTTAACAACGAATTTTGACAATGAATGAAAGTAATAATTATTGTAAAAAGAACTCTAATATTTGACGATTAGTTAGAAAAAAAATGTATATCCAATTCGATACCTTTGTGTTAAAATAAAAATTAATTAAATAAGTATGCATCTATGGTTCGGCAAAATAATGGTCAGTCGTTAATAAATTCATCAAGAGATAGCATCTATTTTTATATTACTTCCCGTTGCCACATTCTAATTTTCTAATTCTGGTTCGATAAATTGTATATCCAAACATTGGGTCATAATCTTAATATTTCAAGCTGTCTAGTCACACTGGTACATTAATGCGCTTCATTATTTGTGTAAATATTTCATTAATAATAGATGTATACACTGAGAAAAAATTGTATTGAAATTAAACAAATATTTGTGCGAATACGACTGTGAATACATTTATTCAAATTAAGCGACTAATTTCTAAAATGAAATACAAAGGTTCTGAATGTAAACCATTTTTTTAATTTTAGAAAATAATAAATATATTCACACCATCGTTTCGAACAAATATTTATTTAATTTTAATACAATTTTTTCCTCGGTGTACATTGGTCTAAATCATTTTTCTCCACTTGAGGGGATCTTAAGTTTTCGAACAAATGCAAATATTTATATCAAAACCATTTTTAATGTTATATATTGTATTTTTTGTGACGACCTACTACGCTTAAACGTTTCCGGTTATTGGGACATTTATCTTATGCCGGATAACAAAATTAACAATCGAATATTTCGGAGACTTTCTTTAGTGAAATAACGGGCCGGATGTGTTCGTCCATTGAAATCCTTTCTTAGCCGTTTCTTTCGAATTCATTTAGACGAATCTACAATTCGCGATAAGACTTGAGGGTGGAGCGGGGGGGACGTAGAACTCTGTAACTCTGCGCTAAACGTGGGAAACGTGCGAAGAAGAGTGCGATATCGGATTTTCGCCATCGACGTCGAGCGGAGCCGCAGAGAGGATTAATCCCCGATTAACCTCGACAATCGCGCTCTGCGAATCCCGGCAGATGCCGACGTGAATAGAGCTATCGTTGCAACTCATTGTTAGCGAGTGCATTCTCGCTTCTCGCCGTCGTCGCCGTTCCGCCGACGAGCCCGAGGAAAGTGCACCGCGTTCACGCACGACGACGTGTATGTAAATTCGGCGGCGAAACGTCATTTTCGGGCGGCCCAATTAAGGAATCGGCGAGGAGGGGGGGATGGTCACACGCTCCCCCGATCGGAGCGGCGTTCTCGAGCGAGTCGCGCAGTTAACGCGTTAACGCGTTAACGCGTTTGCAATTACCGGGCCGGGCGCGAACGAATGTGTCTAATTACGCGCAGGAGCGCGGCGGCGAGGGAACGTCGTCGAGCAACAAGCGGGCCAATTAGTAATCGCATTCTTTCCGAACAATTGGCACGGGCGCTCGCGTGCCAATTGTTCCCCGTTCGGCCGAGCCGAGGTGACAGAATCGCCCGAGCTGCGCGAGCATAACCGAGGACGAGGACGAGAGGACAGGCTCTTCTCTCTTCGTCCTGGCGACGAGGGACACTCATTAGCGGGCCACCCGCGATAAACCGAAGCGACGAGAGATTCTCGCCGAGCGCTGGAGATTGCGCGGATCGCAGCAGGACGGCGAGGGGGGGTGGGGGGAGGAGAATCGTTGGCGTGTGTTTGCCGAACAAAGTGGCGCCAGCGAGATGATCCTCCGATTTTCTTAGAGCTCCCCTCCGAAGCGACCGGTCTCATTTGGCGCGAAACCGTACGAAACCGGCTTTGGGCGATTTCCGCGTTCAGAGGGAGTCATTCGCGTGTTTGCCGAGTTAAATGACGGGGCGGGGAGGACGAGAGTGGTAACCGACGATTGCAATCTTTCTCGGATCTTGAGAGCTCTTCCGAAACAGTCGTTTGGTCGATCGATAGCCGACGGGAGAGAATCCGGGGGGAAGGATTCAATCCGATTCGGTTAAATTCTCTCGGCGATCTCGTCTCGAGGAGGATTGCTCGTACATTCGTCGAGTGGAATTCGGCGAAACGGATGTCGGTTAATTATCTTTTCTAATCCCAGCCGTCGGTCGAGTCCACTTTGGGCGATCTGCACCTCGCGAGAAGATTCGAGAACTCAGCCTCAGTGACTTTTGTGACGCGCCATTTAAGGGAGGAATTACATGCGAAGCAGGCCGTTTTCAAGGCTATTTTTACGCCGAATTTTTTTAACAGAAACGGTAGGATCAATGGACTTGAAATTTTCACGGGGTATTCATTAATGTTCATAGTATAAAATAAATTTCATTGAATCACAAGAACCGATCCAATTTGTATTATAATTATAGGTAAAAGTGCAGACATTCGTTTGCGCAGCTCTATGTTTGCTATCGATATAATTCCGGGCCTCTCTCTCACTACTCTGAAATCAAAAAATGAGAAATATACGGTTTAAAATATACGGTTGCCATTATAGCCCGTACCAAAATGAAGGCAGCGAAGCCAAGTTTGGAAAAATAATGACTGTGCAAGAAGAAAAAGTATCGAAAATGAAATTTTCTTCAACTTGTAATCATGTTTAAAAAGAATGAATAAAATAGAATATAATTGTGTTCGAGGTAGGGGCGAAAACTACATGTCTACTGTAAATTGTGTAAAAATTCCAAGTTATTCGGTTCCGTAGTTTTTGCGTAATCGTGTCGACTGAGTTTAAGAAAATGGTGTTGCCAGATAAACGCGTTTAAAGTGTTTTATGGTGTACTTTCCATATAGATATAGTAACAAATTTATTTTATACTTTGAATATTAACGAATACATTGTGAAAATTTCAAGTTTATTGATTCTACCGTTTCTATTAAAAAGATTCATAAAAATAGCCTTGAGAAATAGCGGCCTGCTCCGCATGTAATCCCCCCCCCCCTTAACGTGTAGAACGCGATTATCGATTTGCACTCATATTTTTATCTCTGCAGTATCGTACTTAGAACCTCTTCGGAGTATCGCATCGAAACGTTTCGCGATACATTAGATACTCGCGTAGCTTACGACTAAGAAAAGACGCGGCGGTGTGTGACAACTGACGAGTGACAAGTTATTTTAGAATGTCGAAAGTTCCTCCGCGGGCCGCGCCTTGCACGATCAATAGCACGCGAATTCAGGGCAGGGCTCAATTTGCAATTACACGCGCGCGTCGTGCGATTCGCAAAGCAGACCGAATTCGAAGTGGAGTCGCGGCTGCTGTCCTCCGCAAGGACGCCCGAGGGAACGCGCGGTAGATTGAATTTTTATTATGGATTCGCCTCGCCAATCCGGTTCGCGGCTTCGACATCACATTTAATACCTATCGTAAAGCATCACAGACATCGAGATGCTTTGTGAGCCGTGCGATTACGCGCGCGAACCTGTTTACCGTTTGTCCACGTCGGATATCGACGTACGACGACAACGATAATGCAGTCGCTCGTAGATAAATACCGCGGTTGGCCACCGAACGTTTCGCGTTCGAGTCGTCGCTCCGCCGCGTGCGGCGGTGCTGCGTGCATGCAGACAGCAGCGGGGAGGAGAGAAGGAGAGACACACATAGAGAAAGAGAGAAAGAGGGGGGGGGCGGAGAGGGACGAGTGGACACATAAACGTGCGTGGAAAGGAAATTACGATTGATTCTACGACGAAACAGGACACGCGGACGACGAGAAAGCAGGACGGACGGAGAGGCGAACCGGTCACCCGGGATAAACCGCGACTGCATTATTAAGACGCGCCGAGTCCTCCCGAGGATCTCGGTTGTTCGGGAAACAACAATAGCCGGTCGAGCGGAGACGACCGACTGTGCGAAAAAGCCGCGGCGGCATCGAATGGAAATTGAGTGCTCGGCTAAAGACGCAGAAAAGAGAGAGAGAGAGAGAGAGAGAGAGAGAAAGAGAGAAGAATTCAATCGATATTTCATCGCATCTCACTTGTCCGCTATCGAAAGCGATCCGTTCGCCCCATCCCATCGATAATCGCCATTGTTTGCAAATATCCGACGGTACGTCGCGTATCTACATATTTTTAAATGCTGCCGTAAAACCGGCCCGCCCATCAGAACTTTTGCACTCGAGCAGCCAATATTTCATTCATTTCGCGACTTTGTTTGTTTTATCGCGCTTCTTATCAACGTGCGCATCTCGCACGGACAGTCCGCATGCGGGCGGACTTTTTGCGCTCTGCGACACAATTTTATTCGCTTGTATCGCGCGATCGAGAAACTCCGGACGACGCGCGCGCGTATTACCGCAGAGGAGGCAGAACGCGAAATATCCGTGGTCGTTATCCGTCGTTACGAGAGAGCGACTCCTCCGCTGATTTCGGATTCAATCCAATTTGCAGACCCTTCTGCCCCCTCCCCCCCCCCCCGCCGCTCTGCTTTTTCCTCGCTGGCCGCGGCGCGGCGCGGCGGTCCCTCGCGCAGTGTCCTTTTCGCGTCGTCTTGTCTTGCCGTGCCGGAGCGACTTTGAAAGCGACGCGGGACAATTAATCTCGTCCTTTGGCTCGCGAAACGGCGGAGAGACATCAAGGCAAGGGGCCTCGAATTAATCTTCGTATTACACTTTTGCCATGCAAATGCAACGCGCGCTCGCGTTCTTTTGTGCAAGCATCGCGGACGTTAATCAAGACATTCGCGAGACGCGATCTCGGGCGGGAGGATTTGAGGGTCGGCGGGGGAGGGGGGAGGGGGGAGGGGGAGAGCAACAGTCGCATGACACAGCAACAACGAGACGACACGAGAGGCACACACCACATCGACGTATCGGAGTGACAGCAAGGCATTAGCAGGGGCTACAAAGAAAGAGATAGAGAAGGATAGAGAGAAGGAGGAAAAGAGAAAAAGAACAAACCTTGTTGTGCGACTTGAACATACAGGCGGTCCCGGCGAACAGCTGCGTCCAGGGAAAGATACATATCGATTACTAATCGCATTCGCACTTTCTCGCCCCAACGGCTTCCGGAGAGATTTCTCGCTCTCTCTTTCTCTCTCTCTCTCTCTCTCTCTCTCTCTCTCTCTCTCTCTCTCTCTCTCTCTCTCTCTCTCTCTCTCTCTCTCTCGCTCTCTCTTTCTCTCTCTCTCTCTCGCTCTCTCTCTCTCTCTCTCTCACTCTCTCTCTCTCTCTCTCTCTCTCTTTCTCTCCGGACCCGTTGTCCTCCTCTCGCTCACGGTGCCGCGATGAAATTCGCGGATCGCCGGTCGCGATGATAAATCGATTACGCGATAATAATCGCTTCCCGATTATTATTTCCCCGTCTCTCTCAAGCGAACATCGGCCGAAGCGAAGGCGTCGACGTTTGTGAGGGACGAGGCTCTCTCCCCCTGGCCCTCTCTTCTTAGTGCAGCACCGCCCGCTCGCGTCGCGACGAAACCCGTAATTAGCAGCGCTCCGTCGCGTCGGCGCGACGAGCTAAACTTATTACGAAGCGACGCTCTTTCCACGTGCTTGAGGGGGTGGAAGCGATCGACCAGCGCGGCGGCCACGCGAGTAACACGTGTCGCACTTCTCAAAGTCGAAATCTCACGTGTCGATCCACGGAATCGTCCTCGATTAATAATCGCGACTTTCGCCGGAGTTTGGCGTTGCGCGGCGAATCGCGAAGGAGAGCGACGCGGCGCGGCGCGGCGCGGCGGCTCGCAGGAAGAAAGAGAGCCTCGCGCCGGGGATAATTGCCGGACCGTTGCGAATGGGGGGAGTCAAAAGTGAAAAATGCGCGCGAGAGAGTTCGCCCCCCCGAAAATGAGTTATGGCGGCCTCGCGAAATTCCTCTTCCAGGCCTTCATTAACCCGTTCGTTCTTGCGCGGGCGTTCTTGCACGGCTCGCGAGAAACGAGTTTGACGTGCGCTATGAATGCGCATATTCTTTGCGCGTGTCTCGCAAACACGCTGTCTCTCTCTCTCTCTCTCTCTCTCTGTGTGTGTGTGTGTGTGTGTGTACGCGCGTGTACCGTACGTTCCAATGTTAATCGCTAACCTTTAATTCAGCGCGATAAAACCCGCTGAAGCGATTTCATGCGCTGCCGGCGGCGCGGCGGCCCAGAGCGGGGAAGTATTCCGTCTCAAATATCCACCGATGGCGTTAGCGCAGCGCGCCGCGGCGTCGCCTACGTCGGCTACGAAAGCTTTAAGGATCATTATAATTAACCGCCCGGCCCGCGGTCTCCCTCCCACTCAATCTTCCTCTCCGTCTCCCGCTCGCTCTCTCGTATCCGTCTATGGTTTGCAAAGTCATTGTTGTTCCTGTTCGTATCGCTTGACGGAGCTGCGAGGGAAAATTCCCTCTCGTGATCCCTTTCTTCCCGCCCCCTCTACACGGTCAAGTTTTTATCTCTGGTCGGTGGGAAGAAAGCAAATGCCCGTTTAATATACGTCGCTGTAATGTTTCTTCTGGCGACAGATACGATTCTGGCTGCGGATTTCCCGGCGCGATCAATTTCTTACCGTCATTACCGTGAAAAACGGGGAGGGATAATTATCTTGAGACGACACAAAACGTCAGTCGCGAGTTTACTCGCGAATTAGGACACTGACACGTCGGAAGAGAGAGGTACAATTTATCGAAATATTCTTCCTCCGCGGTTTGCGACTGAAATTACTCACTCTGTGATCATTTCTCACCGAGAAGCGACACTTTGCGTTCTCTCCGCTGTCACGAACATTTCTCAAGATGAACGCGATGCGATGTGCAGCATTGTTTCGCGCAGCCCCGCTTGAGAGACAATATATCGCGTTCTCGCGAAATTGCGACGCGCGATCCACTCTCGAGGAGAGCGAAGCGCCCGATTCAATGTCCCGTGGAATTTAATTCTTCGACTCAGCGTGACCTTCGTGAACGCGCTCAGCTGTCAAAAGAGAGAGAGAGAGAGAGAGAGAGAGAGGCCGCTCCCTCCCCCTCTCTTTCTCTTTTCTCTCTTCGATCCGTACGACCGATCAATCTCGGTTCAGCCGATCCGATCACACGCGTGTGCATGCGTACGCTCTCTTTCCTCCTCTCTGATCGATCTAACGGTAACGCTGAGATCGATTCGCGTCCCGGAAGTGTCTCTCCTTCCCTCTTCCTGCGGCCGAATAATAATAGGACGCGCACACATCCATTTATCGTGTCGGACTTTCTTGCCCCGGCTCCACCTATTCTGCCGCCGTCACTCTTGACGTCGACTAATTGAAAAAGTTTCCTCAAAGAACGGAACCTCGCGACGACAAAGGAGCGGCGGCCGGATGAAAAACCTTGCTGAAGATTTTCGAGTCTTCCGCGAGCCGCTTGACAGGATAATGTTCAGCGAACGGTGAAAGCGACGGCTCCTCGCACGCCCTCGAGGTGGCTCTCGAGGTAAAGCGGAACAACGACTGGACTCGAGTCCGAGCGTACCTTGCAAATCGCAAATCCCGCGAATTTAGGCTACTTTCGATTGTGTCTAGCTCGCGAAGGTGAAAACTGGCGGAAGTCGAAATGGCCCCACCCGGGTCGGCCGGAAGCGCATTTCATCCACTCTTGCGACTCGCGACGAACGCGCAAGTGTCATCCGAGTGAGACCAACTGGTCAGCGCGAGCAGACTCGTCGTTCACATCGCAAACTCGTTTATCGTCTGTAGACCCTGCGAGAATCACCGTCGTCGTCGTCGTCGTCGTCGTCGTCGTCATTATCATCGTGCGCACCTGACGGCGTATTCGTCCGCGGCTTTCATCGTCGAACTCCTTTTCCCCTTTTTTCTACCGCGACGGCGGAGGCAGCGGCCGGTGCGGCGGATCGTCGCGATTCATTTTCCTTTGGGAAAAAAGAGGAAGAGCCGGGAGGGAAGGGCCGAGAGAGAAAGGGCAGGGAGAAAAAGATAGACGGAAAGTAACGACCCTCCGGCATGAAGCGAAGTAAAAAGTTCGCCGCTTATGTACGAACGCTCGTGTATTTAGTCCGAGAGCCAGGTGTACACCGCGGCGAGAATGAGAGACAAAGGCCGGGAGAAAGAGAAAAAGAGAGAGAGAGAGAGAGAGATAGAGAGAGAGCTTTCGAACAGAGATAGACGAGGCGCGCGCGCGCGCGCGCGCGCGATCGAGGTGGTCGGATGGACGCGCGTGAATTTCTAACGAGGAGCCACTTGAGCGAGCCGTTCAGGCAAGTGGAGCAACTGGTGAATTTCTCGCTCGTGCGACTTTCTAAATAAAGCCAATCAACAACGGGGTAGCGGCGACGAGCGATACAACAGGAGCGCGGCTCTCTACCGACACCGCTGGCCGCGAGCTCGCGAGCTCGCTCGCTGCACCACCCTTGCGGTGACGAGGACTTCGGGCTGACACGCGTCCCCGGTAACCCTCTTTGTCGCGCGCGAGTCACTCCCGGACGGCGAAATTAGAATCCTCGACCTGTTTGCTCGAGCGCGCGTAATTCGAGGAGAGAGAGAACTCGAGGCGCGCGCGCGCGCGCGAGCCGCGCGAATTTCGCCGCAGAACTCTCGACCGCGTTCGCGTGCGAGCGGAGCCTGATAAATTGACGAACCGCGGGAAGACACACGAATGGTCTCCTGCCGGCCGCTTGTATAGTTCTCTCGCGCGGCTTCAACGGACCAACGTCAGCGCGCGGCGGCTTTCCATAATGGAAATTTTTCAACGGGTTTATAATATATTCTCGTGTCGTCTGCGCGCGCACTCGCTCGCCCGCTCGAGCGAGCTGAAGAGGCTTCTTCCTCTCCTCTCCCTGCTCTCGCCCCTCCCCCCTCTCTCTCTCTCTCTTTCACTCGCCGCGGGTCGTTTACCAAAATCCGCGCGCGGTTGATGGCAAGTCTCGTTAAAAAGCGCTGCGAGCTACTCCGAATTTCTGAGGAGCTACTTCGAGTGTCAAGAAGTGGAGCAAGTCGAGAGGCCGCTGTCCGCCCCCGCCGCTCCCTCAACTTCGACCCGGCACGTAGCCCGTATATTTAAACCGTATTTTTAGCGGGACACCCCCGACGGGCGAAAAAATGAAAAGACACCGCAGACAGCTCCTTTTTTTGCGCGCACGTAAAACTCTCTTTACGCTCTCCTTTTCCGCGCGCGCGTGCGCTGTGAACAGGAGCGCAACAATGGCGGTCGTGAAATGAAAATTATCCTATTTAACAAACACACGCGAGCGCGCGCGCGCGCGCGCCGCAGTCTCATCGTCGCGCTGTTTGCGCGCAAAAACCGCCGTCCGCGCCGCGGGCGATTTTTGCCGACGCGCGAGCGACCGTACGAGCAAAGAGAGCAGGAAAAAATAACAATCACTCTTTGACCGCGCGCGAATAGAATTCCCCGGGGGAGCGGGGGATGCTCCTCTTCTTTATCAGCCTGATAATATCCCATCCGGCTTATTTCTTTATTTTACCCCTCTCATCGGCCGACGCCGATGCTCGAGGCGGCCTTATATAAATGCACCCCATCGCCGTCGCTACCGTCCCTCCGCCATAAGCACCCCCTCGATCCGCCGCGAAATAACGCGACCTTCTGATCTTCCGCCTGGCCGACCTCCCCCCTCTCTCTCGCCCTCACCCTCCCTTCTTCTCCCCCCGTCTCTCCCTCGCGTCTGGCAGTTAAGCTTCGTTTCCGACTGTGAGTATTCTCTTTGCAAGGTACACACGGCGCGCGCGTTGGTATTAAACCGGCGAGATTATTGCGCGCCGGCAACGCGCTCCGTGCCGCCGCGGCGTTCGGCGGGGCTGCCGAGAGGAGGAGGAGCGGTGGATTTAACGTTCTTAATAATACATTCCGCGGTGAATAATGCAGCGATTGGATTACCAGCCGCGGCTGGTCGTTCAATCGGCGAGACGAATGGCGCGCGCACGCGCGAGTAAACGGGCGAGATGAACAAACGTTGCGTGATCGACAGGCGACGACGACGACGACGACGACGACGACGACGAGAGACGGTCGGTTTTTAATCACA